CCCCAAAACCCCAAAACCCCAAAACCCCAAAACCCCTAAAAAATTTAGACTGATTGATTATACTATTATAAAAGTGTTAAAAATGTCTTCTGCTTCAGGAAGTATACTTATCCCAGACTCATACACACGAGCTCAGCCCCAAAGTAGCTTAAAACAAGGTAATTCGCTACATTATATGTCTTGCTTATAATAATACTGTCCAAGGTGCACTGCTCCTCATAGTATTGAAAAATTAGAAGACAAAGCTTAACTTATATTTTAGGCATTATGATGGCTGTAATAGCAGTTCTAAGCTGAGCAGTGATCCTACCCTTCATGAAACTATATTATGAGGTACCTGCAAGCATGGTTTGCTTCTGGAGATATTTTTTGACTTCGGTTTATTGCATCCCAATATCCTTGATAATTTGGAAGAAGAAAAACTCAGAAATTGATTATAAAGAAGTATACACATTGGAGACCATGAAAGAGTTGTTCCTCGGAGGATTCTGATTTGCACTCGGATTTTATTTTATGGTACTCTCTGCAGATTACACACTGATTATGCACACATCTGCGATTACAAATACTGGAGGAATATTATCAGTGGCAATCAGCCTGATAGCCTGAACCCAGATTCATCGATTTGAAATCTATGGAACAATATTAGTATGCATAGGAGTCTGAGGTTTCCTGTTAGGTAAGTTTTATCTTGTGAAATACTGGCTAATTAAATGAAAAGAAGGGTACTAGAGATCTATCAACTCTAACATTGCGTTTAGACAACACTTCAGCAAAGATGCATGGAGAAACAAATATTATTCTAGGAGATTTCATAGCCCTATTTGCAATGCCTTGTTATCTAGTATCCTATATCAATAACGCTAAAGCTTGTAAAAAGATGCCATCACTGATAGTATTTCACATTTTCATGGTCGTACAAGTTATTTCGTTCGTTGCTTATTTCCTCTTATTCTCTAAGATTCCATGGCAGACACTATTTTCTGATGATATTAAAGATGGCTTCTTTGGATGGTCAAAACCAGAATTTATATTTTATTCCTTAGTCATTGTGACACCAATTTGCGGAATAATAGGTACAGGGTCCGGAGTAATGCTGTTGGAATATTTCCCTGCACATATCGTAGCAGGAATCTACCTCCTAGATCCCTTCGCTACTCAAGTAGTGTCAGTTATTATAAACTTGGATGGCTATCCATCATTGACCACTTGAATTGCGGCTGTATTTATCACAATAGGACTTGGGCTTAGCATCAGAGGGAACCAACTTCAAAAGCTTGAGGCTCTTCTGGAACCTTCATATGAAGCTAAAATAGCTCTTAATTCAGTTGAGCTTTCTGAGAAGTCAGTACACCAAAACTTGTAGTGGGCTATTTACATTCAATCTATTTGAAATCAAGAGGGGTTTTGGGGTTTTGGGGTTTTGGGGTTTTGGGG